TTCATCCAAGCGTCGCAGGCATCTGCCATGTTGTCCCACTAATGAAGACTTCTGTTTATTTTTGTTTTTTTTTACCTCTTTTGTTATATCTAGTTTTTTTCCCTTGAGGCTGCTGGACATTTTGCGTTTAAACTAGTCCAGATGTATTCCTTTGTTGGAGTTTACTGCATGTGCATGACTTGCTTTCCTCCTTGAGCTCTATCTAGGTCTATAATATGAATCAAGTCGTGCTCACTTAAGATTATCAGTACTTTCTGAAAGGGTTTCTACTTTTGCATACAAAGTGAGATGTTTTATATAGGGCTCTTTTTTTAGGAAAACAAAGAAAAGAAGAAGCTCAGCTATGTTTATGTTTTTGTCACCCTGAGAATTTGTTATGAACAGGCCCTTTACCAATTATACTATTGGGCTGGTATTTGGGCCAGTTGAAAAAATGAGGAAATACCAATATGTGATGTGGGATCCGGGTTGAGAAAATCCATTAAAATATTAGAGTGCTGAAGGAAGTGGAGGAGATATAAATAGCAGGAGTGTGTGTAGTTGTTAGGCTAAGCTAGAACTTGTCTTTTCTTTTCATTAGCTATTTTGTAATAGCAGTATGGAACCTCCCTTTTCTTATTTTTCATTTTTTTGTTCCATGAATAAGTTGTAATTCCTCAGTTTGGTTGAATATCAGATTATATGTTCCTTTGGTAAATATGGATCCATTACAGAATTAGGTTTAGGTAACAATAATACATGCAGCTTCATTGCAGGTGATGGACAAGCATTTGAGCATACTGGCAAAACAGCATATAGAGACACGTTTTGTGAAAATCCATGCTGAGAAAAGTCCATACTTAGCTGAGAAGCTCAGAATTGTTGTTCTTCCCACCCTTGCCCTCGTAAAGCATGCTAAAGTGGAGGATTACGTGGTATGTTTAGGTTCAGATAACATGAGCTTCTCGTGTTCTATTAGTTATTTTTTCAGCCGTCATTTTGCTCTTTAATGAAAATCTGCCATGATTTTACTCCACTGGCACTAGGTTGGATTCGACGAGCTTGGTCACACAGATGAGTTTAGCACAGAGGAACTGGAAGAGAGGTTAGCTAAAGCTGAAGTTATCATTTTTGAGGGTGAATCATCGAAGCTTAAATCCAAAGCTCCATCTAAGAGTGTCAGGCAGAGTGCAAATCCTGACTCGTCTGATTCAGAGTAAACTTAGACTGGAGACTTATCTGTCCATTGTACTACTACCATATAGTCAGTTTTGAAGACTTATGTATTGAGGAAGTGGGAATGCATATGTTTTGTCATTTGTGTCTCCTGAAGTATCCTTCAGCAAATTAGACGAAAAATTAACTTTGAGAGTTCCTGTAAATGTAAAACCTTTGGTTTTATCTTGGTGGAATGGAGATTACAATTCAGATAATGAACAAGTGCAGTAACTTATCACCGTAACAAAGAGTTTTGCGCATTTGGTTTATTTCTAACTTACTAAAAAAGTGTTTGTTGCTCTTTTTGATAGTTTGAACTAGTATATTAGCTAATAATCAATCATTGCTCTCGGCATACTAGATACTTGGACTAAAAATCAATCAAGGATTTCACATTTATCACACAAACCTGGAGCTTGGCTTCTGCTTTCGGTGTAGAGTAAGATGTAGACATTGCCTACTAGAGTGTTTTTAAATGTAATGGAGTTGATAATTTAATCTAACCCATAGCTAGTTCATTCAATTAGATATCAGGGTGTTATAGAAGGAAATGTCAGTGAAAATTAACATGAAATGGCAAAAAGAAGACAAAGGGCAAAAGCATTGTACAAAGGACATAGAAAGTGAAGGATTGAATGCAAGCTCGTGGTTACACATTGCTTGGCTCAATGGTCATTAACATTCAAATTCGAAAGACATAGTAGAGCTATCACCGTACCCTTTTGATGACGGCCTTAACCAAAGTGAAATTTTTGATAGGGAGCTTTACTAGGTGAAATTCAAAAATAGTTAGATTTATAAGTGGTAATTGAAAAATAGTCACAATTTCAAAAGTAATTGAAATTTAGCCACTTTTTATGTAAAGATAAATCTGAACGAAAACATTGTTCAAAATCCGAAAATATTCAAGCATAATATACTAGAGTTCGAATTTTTTACATGTAAACTTCCAGCATAATATACTGGAGTTCTAGCATAATATATTGGTCCAGCATAATATGCTGGTGTCACGACCCAACTTTCCCTCCGTTTGAGTATCGTGATGGCACCTAGTCTTAGGGACTAGGTAGGCCTAACTCATACTGAAATACCACAATAATAAATGAAATTTAACAGTCTTGAAGCATAAATCTCTACAAAATTTGTAATTCTCAAAACCCGATAGTACAAGTCATAAGCTCTAGAGAGTTAGCTACCACTTCTAAATATAACTGTTCGGAAAAGAGTGAAAACAGTTGAATACAAGTAAGAAGGTGACTCTGAAGCCTGCGAACGCAGCAGCAGGTTTACCTTGAGTCTTCTCAGCAATGATCCGCACAGCTACTAATGATCGATACCTGGATCTGCACAACAAAAATGTGCAGAAGAGTAGCATGAGCACACCACAGCGGTGTCCAGTAAGTATCAAGACTAACCTTGGTGGAGTAGTGACGAGGAACAGTCAAGACACCTACCGGTGCAATAAGTGTTGTAAGGCAGAGTGTTGACTCTAATATTGCTGAAAAATAGAGGAGTTTCTTGACATTGTTGAGTTCCAAAAATAGGATCACCTCTTTGTTCCTCCAAGTCCCAACGTTTATGAAGAAGAAGTAAAAACTTCTATGTTTTATGTGATACTCTGATGCTATATGTGCATGAGACTGGGTTTGTTCTTGATGAGAAGAAGCTTGGGGAAATTCTTGGTGATCTGATTGATGGTTCAGCCTACTCAGATAGGTTGAGAACCTAGTCCTTGTGGATCCTTAGCAGAATAGAATGCTAAGTTGAAGGGTGAGAATGAAAGATTGAGGAAATAGGTGGAGGAACTGAGAGAGCAGATGATCATTGATCGAAGGAGAGTGAATGAACGAATGGACAAGCTCATCAAGGCCTTAGCCCATTGCTTTTCCTCCTGCCCAATGATCCATGTCTTTCACTCCTTCCAAATTCCCTTGAATTCTTATCTTCTTTTGATCCCTATATTTGATGACATTGGTACTTTAGTTGTTTAAATTGTCATATTATGTATTGTTGAAACTACTGTGCTTTTATTATAATTACTCTACTATGGGCAGTCACTCTATTTTGTGCGATGGCATTCATTTGTTGTTCTTGTTATTGTTTATGCTGTGTTGCCCAAGTGGCATGAGTTAATGTTGCTGAACTTCTTTTTGGCCGTGCTTATTCTTTTATTCTTTTCAATGATGCCAAAAGGGGAAAGTTATATAGGTGTCACATGGGGGAGGAACAGAATTGAATTGATATGTTATGTTGTGCATGAAAGATAGCTCTGCTTCGCAGGGGGAACGTTGCTGATAATATGTTGATTATAGGTCTGATCCGCGGGGAAACATGTGAGGAATCTGGTTCTCAAGTGTTATTTTGGGTTTGTCGTCATCAAAAAGGGGGAAATTGATAAGTTATGGTATTTTGAGTTTTGATGGTTTGCCAAACAGTCTTGAGGAAGCAGTTGTGATCAATTCCTTAGGTTTGGTTCTTAGGAGAGATATGGCTGATTCGTAGGGGAGACAATGTGTCGATCCGGTTCTCAGGGGGAATATCAATTCTAAGTTTGTCGTCATCAAAAAGGGGGAAATTGATAGGTTACAAGTACTTTGGGCATAAGTACTTTACTTTATGTTTTGATGATCTAACAAACTTACCATCCCGAACCAGATAAGGAACAGACCTTAAGATCACAAAGTTCCAGGTTGGGATCCAGCGTGGGATATAACTCAACTCTTCAGAGTGGAAGGAACATGTGAGGGAACAGGTCCCTACCAGTTCCCGAGGAGACCGTATGAAGTCAACTCTCCAGCTGTAAAGTTGCTGCCTGCACACGCTACTGTACAGGAACAGTGCAACGGTCGATTTTCTGTGGAAGGCTTTTTACCTACCTTGCTTACATCATTGTAAGTGATGTCATACATGTATAAATACAACCAAGGAAGGTAAAACAACTTACTTCATGAGAGAACAAGATAAGGAATCTAATACAATTAAGTTCCCTTGCATTCAGAATAACTAATCAGATGTCTGGTTCAATTCTCAATGAAATCAGATAAGGAAACAGCAGAGGGACCAGATAGGGATCAGTTTCCCTCGTCGTTGTACAGTCAACTCCACACCTGTAAAAGCTGCTGCACTGTACCGTCTGGCAGACTGCTGCACTGTACCGTCTGGCAGCAGTACAGCCGCATAGCTGTAGCTTGCTAAGGCCAAACTAAAAGGCACTTTATTGCATCATCCTTGATGACATCACACACACATATTATCAACATGAGGCAAGGGATTTCGTCTCTCCAATACTTGCAAAATAAAATAAAAAAAATTCTCTCAAGTGCTAGCCACAATCTCTCTCAAGAATAAAGCTGCTGCAACCTCAAGGACCAGATTCAAAGATTGAAGATATCTTAAGTCCTTAGGTTTGTTAAGTCTTTGTTATTTGTTCTTTATTTGTAACTCCTACTTAACTTGGTTAGAAGCATTCTGTAGGAAACCCTTTGTAAATCACAAACCCTTGTGTTTGTGTCTTGGCTAGAGTTAGTCGAGTTGTGAAGTCTTTGTAATAGAGTTATTACAAAGTGGCTTGTAATAGTGTTGTTACAAGTTAGTGAGTGATTAAGTTTTTGTAATAGAGTTATTATAAAGTGGCTTGTAATAGTGTAATTACAAGTTAGTGAGGGATTAAGAGGTTAATTCCTAGGTTACAATTGGTTGTAATCTAAAGATTGCTCAGTAGTGAAGTTAAAATCCTACAAGGGTAGGTCGTGATTTTTAACCCCGTTGAGCTGGCAGTTCTCCATGTAAAATTCCTCTGTGTTCTTTATTTACTGCCGATTTACTGTGGGAACAAATACAGAACCTGATTCCCTATACCGTTTGGTTTTACAGTTTGTCGCTTACAATGGGAACTGAGCCAAATGTATCAAAAATCTTGTAGAAGTTCTTGTGAACATTTAGTAGGGTCATTGAAGATGGGGGGAGAGAGAGAGGGACATAATAGGAGATGGAAGGAGAGGAAAAGAGAGTGCGATGGGAAGTGGAATGAATTCTGAAGAGAAGGAGAGGGAAAAAGAGTAGGAGGTAGTGGATATATATGTGGAGGGGGAAGAGATGTGAAACCATTCAAGCTTAACAATGAAGTGTTAAATTGGACTTAGTTCTAACGACAATTTTTAAAGTATAAGGACTAAAAATATATTTGGAGGGCTAAGACATTCTTAGTTGTCATTTCTTCCCTTCTTTGGGTAAGTGTGAAGGCCGAGTCAGAGGGTGTTTGGATTGGCTTTTAAGCTGGTCAAAACCAACTTCTAAGCTATTTTTAGCTTATTTGAGTGTTTGGCAAAATTTAAAAAGTGCTTAAAAGCACTTGACTTTTTAAGCCAAAAGGCCCAAAACAAGCCAAAAGCAATAAGCTGGACAATCCCAACTTATTGCTTTTTGGCTTTAAAACTAGTTGGGTTTGACCAAGTTGTTTTCCCTTTATCCCTAATATTTTTCTTTATTCCAAAATGCCCTTCACAATAAAAGCCTTAAATTTATTCTTTTCTCTCCCCTTCTTCATTCCTTGCGTCTTTCCTCCATCAACAATGAGAAATCAGATCAATTGCAGAAGTGAGAAAAAAATAAAGTAATACGTGTGAAATTTCACTACCTATGGCAACTAATCATAAATTTAGTGGAGCTATCCACTTATCCATGAAATGGATGTTCAGGAAATTGGTAAAAATTCTCTATGTACTCGTGAAGGCAAGTGGACAATTTTAATTATATATAAAAAATAAAATATATGGTCAAACTTCAACCCTCTAGCTACAGTATATAAAAAGTGGCCTCAAGAAAGTCTATTTAGGAAAATTGAGCTCTGATATCGGGCATTTTTTCTGATCTGCGCCCAGAGTTGGACAAATATCCAGAGTTGGACAAATATCTTTCTCCCTCTCACAAAGGCGAAAAAAACAATTCAAATCGAAATTCCACAGAAATTTCGATCCATTTTCAATCTTCAAGCGATGGATAGATCCATGGTGCAAGACGTATGTAAATATCACATGTATTTTCTATTCCAGAGATCTTGCTACGGTTTTATCGGTTCGTCGTTTTTTTTCTGGCTTAATTAATATGGATTTATTTGTTTATTTATAGATAGTGGAGAAGCAAGTGCTGACGGTAGCAAAGGCGGCAGAGGAGAAGCTGGACGACGAATTACATGCTCTAGAGCGACTAGATCTTG